TTAAACCCAAGCCTGCCAACCCCACAGTATTCTTCTCTAGGGTTTCTCCAGCTCACTGGGTGTCTTTATTATCACATTTCTACTCAGTGTTCTAATTCATTGACTATGTTGGCAAACTTCCATTTAATATCTGTGATCTCTGTGTTAGAGCCAGCAGCCTGGCTCAAAGGAATTATCTCTTCTTCTTCTTCTTTTTTTTTTAAGAACTGTTTATATATGTACACATGATCTGGGGTGTAGGCCAGGGGTGTGGGAGGTAAACAAATCCACCAGACACAGAGTGGGGAGCAGAACATGATCTACTGAAACACACTGCTGAGGGGGAGCAGCAGGGAAACAGGAGAGGTCTGCTGTGCCATGTTGGGCAGTTCCCTGGTCAGGGATTAAACTCATGCTGCTGTGGCTGATAGCTGCACACAGAATTAACCCATTGTACCACCAGGGAGGCCTATCCCTTCTTTTTAAAAAAATGAACACAGTACTCAAAGAAGTTGTGAGTATGTGAGAGTGATTGAGTGAGGTTTGATTATAATACTTGTTGCAACTTACAGATCTAAACCTGAGCATGGCAACTTACAGATCTAAACTCTAAGAAAGAGAAAGGACCAAAGAAATCTGGAGCACAGGGATGTCTCCTGGAGACCACGGGTGGGGATGACCAGCGTGTCCAAGTGGCAGAGGGGAGAGATGGCAGGACTCCGGTCTCATTCTTCCTCTCTGTCCATGCAAGCATGCTCTCACCAAGCGCTTATTGAGAATTAACCTTGTACTGAAGACTTTTCTAGAAACTGGTGAGATAGCCATGAATAAAAAGACAACCCCTGTGTTTTGCAGTCATCTCAGGCCAGATAGGTTTTACTGTCGGTTCTAGCGATCTGAAGAAATTCGAAGCACTTACCATCATTTTCACAGGTTTTAATGGTAAGCAGGGGAAACAAACCAGCAGGGAACAGCAACTTGAATCCTCTGAGAACCTCTAGACGTACTTTCTCTGGCATTTTCTCATGGTCTCCTCTCATGATTGTGACTGGTCCTCTTGTAGCTGTACCTTCCCTGAGTAATGGACCCCTTATATCCCTGGTCTCTAGGCTCCAGTGTGCACACTTGCCCATGCGCACACACCATGCTCAGGTGTCTGTGATCAGGCACCCATGCCCCACACCCACATGCTCTCTATGTTAATAAGAGCAAGTTCACAGGTGGTAGCTACAGACACCAATGGCATAAAAGCCCGGCCAACTTCATTTACCCTATACCCTGTTCCTCTGGAGCTGGCCCAAATGAGGGTCTTGGATGGGCTCATTACCGTTCTAGTGCATGCCATATCTGAGTGGTGCCCCAGGATCCCATTCTGGAATCTGATTGCAATATCATGGTCAAGATGTCCACTCGCTGGACTCAACGGTGGCTGGGGTTGAACAGGACTTTCAAAGCCCATCCTTCTGGAAGGTAGAGATCTCAGAGTAGATAAGCTGGGCAGGCATCCCCAAATATTTGCATGACAGTGAATGAGCAACTACATCAAAGAGCAGATGAGTAGATGGATTCACTGTTCATTTGACAACTACATATTGAAAGTTTGCTTAGGCTTAATTTTCATCCTAGTTGGGGGGAGATTCAACAATGACCAACAGACATGCCTTTTACCATACAGCCTATGTTCTAGTGGAGATGGGATTGGGGCAGCCCATGCCCCCGATACGAGGAGTGTCCTGTATGATAAGCTTAGGAGGCTGCTGAGGGCTTTCAGGTCCACCACTGGGGCTGGGCTTTTCTGATTCAATGCTAGGACTGACCATGGAGTCCCTTACCACTCCAGTTATGTTCCCTGGTCTTCTAGTTTCCCATCAGGCTGGCCCAGCAGGAACCTGAGCAACCTTGTCTCAACATATAGGGTGTCTCCTATTTGCTTGAATGGTGCCCAAGCCAGTCAACTATCTGCAAACATTCTTCTAGTGCACTGTCACTGATTAAACCAAATTACATCTGGCATTTTAATTCCTGACTGTCAATAATAGAGGTGTTGAAAAGTAAAAATCTTAGTATTATAAAAGCTGAAAATATTTTGTTCTGATATTTTGAGAGGTTGAGCTGATTAGCACTATATGTAATATAATGTAAAAATATTTTTTACAGAACATGGTGTCTAAATACTATCCAGCAGCCATCAGTGAGTGTAGTGGGACTCTCCATGGAGATTCTTTTAGTGGTTCCATTTTAGTCAACCTACTAGTTTAGGAATGTGCAAACTGCATCTAATAAAAGGTTAAAACATCTCAAAACCAAAATCATCTGGATATCGCTAGCACAAAGATTTGCATGAACAAAATGGGCTTGGATTGTTTCTCTGTGACTGATTTTAACAGCCCCATCTTCAGTGAACTCTGCTGAGAAGGACCGTTCTCTTCTGAGAACATTGGCCTCCCTCCTCAGCCTCAAGCCCCATACTTAGAGCAAGGTTGCTGTGTGGGTCACCGTGCACCTGCCCAGCCGCAAGCTGCTCCTGCTGCCCTTCCTCAGACACTCACTCCGACGGGGTTAAGCATCTGGCTGGGCCAGGCTCCTGGTGGGAACTGAGATGCAGGGACGGAGTGACAGACACAGCCTGTAGAGCTCATGGCCAGAGCCCAGTGGGAAGCAGACTTGTGTCATATCACAAATCAAATATCAGTGCTCCTTGCTAGAGGCTTTCCCGGGGACTGGCTCTTTATGTTTATCTGGAAACAGCAAACTGTAAGCCCTCAAAGTACACACAGGGATGGTTGTGGGTGAAACAAAAAGTATTAATTCAGGGCCCTCCCTGGTGGTGCTATGGATTGGATTGCTGCACTGCGAAGCTAAGCGAAGCCAAGCGGCTTCAGTGAGAGTTCAGTCACCCTGGAGGTGACCCACATGGCGCAGCAGACCTTCTCCCCTCAGCAGTGTACTTTGTCAGTCGATCTGCCTGTTGCGCTTCCCACTGTTTCTGGTGAATCCTCTTGCTGCCCCTGCACCTCTGGCTTACCTCATTTCTGTATGCATAAATACATAAATATTTTTTAAGAAAAGTATTCAAATTCCCTTCTTATTATGTTTTACTTGTTTATTATTCTGGTCTTCTACCAAATGACAAAAGGCTGGGCAATGTGAGTCTCCATGTGTGTCAAGCCAAAAGCTTGACAGAGTCTGCACATATTAAATCCTCAAGAAGAATTGTCAAATGAATGAACGGTGAAATGGAGGTCTTGCATAACAGCCTGATATTATCTTTCTAGAGAAAAAAAACTATTAAACGACTTTTTCTACCTTCCTTTTCAGATAGTCATTGGCTGGTACCAAATAGAAGCAGGTTAATTGGGTTGGTCTTGTTGAGCTGACACAGATACAATGACAGGGTGACGGACTAAAACTAATGTCAGTGGGGCAGTGACAGGACCAGTTCCAGTGATGTTAGACCAGGTCTGGCTGGGGGAGAAGTGAAGGGGGAAAAAGGGGTGCAGCAAGGGCCTCTCAGTCAACCTACCTTCATTGCCTGAGCACTTGTGAATAGACGGGTAGCGATGGCTTCCTGAAACTCCAGGCTTTTCTCCATTCCAGACCAGTAGGCAGGGAGCCTGGAAAACATGGTGTCCATACCCTCTAGTTGTCTGGTCTAACCTACTCAGGTTTATACAGGCCTTGACTTCTTGAAAATCTACTAGCTGGAGGATGCCAGTTCTGTGAAAGACTCATGAGAGAAAGCATCTTCTTAAGCAAGAGATGAATGCACCTGGGTCCGGGCTGCTGCGGTCCATCCTAGTTATCAGCACACCTCCTCTGGGGCTCTTCCAGCCCCCATGTGACCTTCTCTTTCTCTTCTGCAGATGCCAATGTCTCAGTGGCTCTGATTTATTCCTGCAGTGGACTGGTGAGTAGGCACCTGCCCCTTCCCACCCTGATTTTTGGAGCTGGGTGACCAGGAGACTTTTTGCCTTGTCCCTCTCCCTGTCCTGGCTCAGTTATTCTATCAAATGGACTGTCTGGCCTTCATGTGCTCATCATAATCTCTGTGCTCAATGGGCAGGAGTAGGCATCTGAGCTCTGAGCTACCTGGGACACTGCAATCAGGAACCTCTACCTGCAGGGTCATCTTTTCCCCTGGAAAGCATTTCTTCGATTGGTTCTTCTCTCTGGTAAGATCCTGAAAATATAGGTGGGTTTTTTTGTTTGTTTGTTTTGGTATTAGAATGTTTCTAAAGATGAGTTTTCTGCATTGGCTCTGGGTTCTGGTATTGGTTCTCTAAATCACTTATTGGAGAGGCAGTGAAAACTCTAGGCCAAGGTAAAGAAGATACTGATAATCCAGGGCCTGATGTGAAATAGAGATGCCCAGAACATGACCATTGTACACTAAGTCAAATAATTAAGGGCAAGATTCTGATTAACTCATATTTGATACTTCAGGGAATTTTAGTCAAATTGGGAGTACAACAAAATACATACTTGCTCCTAGCTGTATTTGAAATGGGGTAATGAAGAATGAGATTAAAGATTCAATTTTCCTCAAACTATAAATGAATATCCTATATGATTCTATTTGTTCCCTGATGTAAACTAATGTCCTATAGTCACCAAACTAAGATTGGGCTAAGATTCTGAAAATGTGATATAAAATGTCATTCCAAAACTGGAATTGGGTTACGTAGGAAGATTCCAATAAAGTTGGAAACATCAAACCCCCCAATCTGCTCTGCTTTCTTGGTGAGTTGCTCATTTAATTTGAAGGTAACTTTGGTTAAGGGTGTGTGTGTGAGATTTTTGGGATCCTCTGTATCCCCTTCACACAGAACACACAATATGTTAATAAAGCGTTTATTGTGCAGGGCCAGGGAGGAGGGTAACATCCTCCAGGCCTGTTTCATTGTCTCCAGGGAGCTTTGTGCCCTACAGTGATGCACAGGGGCTTGGCATGTGTGGGACTATAGTCAAAGCTTCATGTTAGATGACGTGGAGTTGAAGGGGAAGTATGTGGAAGCCAGGTCACCAGGGAGATTATGGAGTTTATTCTTATGTGTCAGCATGGGTGGGGTGTGGAGCCAGGTAAGAATTTTATTTAAAGAATGGTCTAAATGCTTGTATTTGGAGATAGTTCACATCTACAATCAGTTGATTTAAGAAAAGCAGATTTCCTTGGTCATATGGGAGCAGCTAATGCTATCACTGAAAGACATTAAGAGTAAAATTCTAGAAATTGGAAAACACAGAAACATATTTTCCCTTAGAGATCCCAAAACATCTAGGTGAGGCCCAGCATAACCTACTTCCAACTACAGATTTTCAAGTGTTAAGATCATAAACTCTTGTTGTTGTAAACCATAAAGTTGTGGAAACTTGCTAAAGCAGCAGGAGGAAATTAACGGATTTTCGGATAATAGGATAGAAAACAACAAATCCAGGGAAAGCACTGACAAGTTGAAGGACAGAGAAAATGTCAAGATGACAGTCTGAGTCATATAGGAGGATGGAGACAGGTGGACAGAAAACAGGAATCTACAGCAAGGTTGGGGATGTGGAAAGTTAAGTTTTCATTGGTGAGTCTGCAAATAGGGTGTTGCAGGTGGGCACACAGAAGCAGGATATGGCCAGAGGCAGGAGCAGATGAAAGCAAGCTGGAACCCCGGCAGGAGGCCCTCACACTAGGCCACATCCATGTGGTTACTGCAGCTTTTTGAGGCGCAGGTGGATTCCATTGCTTGACATCAGCACAACTTTTGCATTGGGAATGGGGACCCTGGAGGGCTCCGGCGCCAGCTCAAAGCGGAGCAGAGTCAGGGCCACGGCCACCTTCATCTCGTTCATGGCAAACTGCTTCCCGATGCAGTTCCTGGGCGAGGATGGAAAATGAAATGGGATGCAAAGCCAGCCCGACACTGAGTCAAGGGGGACTGGCCACTGAGCGCTGGCCGGGAGTGGGCATTCACGGTCCCCTTCAGTGACATCTAGCCCCAACCTCATCCTTAGGGTCACACACTCTACCCCTACGGAGTCCCCACTCTGCCCTGACAGTGACGAGGGTCTGGCCCTCCTCCTGGGTCACCCTCGTCCACCTGTGCTCTCGGCTCACGAGGACCTGTCAGGGCGGCCAGTGCTCCAAGCCACAGTCAGGTCAGCTGAGCCACAAAAGCAGCCAATGACGCGACTGCTCGCCCTGCACAAGCCGTGCCTGGCGTCACTGTTGGAGGGCATGATGGGGAGGGGCGGGACACACACTCAAGCCACACATCTAGGAGGACTCAAGGGAACCCTGGCCCTCCCAGTGTAGACAGAATGGGGCTGTGTAGAGAGGTCAGCTGCTGAGTGGGAACCAACGCCACATGCCCCATGACCTGCAACCAGTCGGACCCTCTGCTACTCCCCCTTGTCAGTCCCTCAGTGAACTACTCTGCAGCTCCTGGCTCTACTGCAAGGATGTCCTTTTGCTATTCCATTTTTTCCCACCTGGCACATCTGTCTCAACCCCAGCCCTCTCTCTAAACTGGACCCAGGGCCCAGTCAGACCCTCTTGTGTCCTCCTGATAGGTAGGTCATGTCGCAGTGACTCGGTGGACATCAAAGCCGCTCTGGTTGTTCCCTAACACACCTCTTACCTATCCTGGCTCGGGGCATGTTCAAACTCATTGAAAACAAGCTAATACCAGGACATCACCTCAGAGAGCATACTGATGGGGGAGTTCCTATGGGAAATCATCCAGTGACCCTCCATCCCCTAAGCACAGGCTGCCCACCTGGACCCTCCTGAGAAGGGCAGGAAAGCGTGGCTGTGCCGGGTAGCTCCAGGAGCAAACCGGGACGGGTCAAACACCTGCAGGGAGAGTAACAGGGTCAGGCCAGGAAGGGCAGCCCCTCCTTCCCGGGGGTGAAAGTGGCCTCGGGGCGGGGGTGCAGCCTGAGAGGCTGTGAACAGGAGAGGCCCCCACACGCTGTGGCTGACCTACCTCAGGGTTTGGCCACACGTCGGGGTTGTGGTGCAGCCCATAAATGGTGAATGACACAATGATTCCTGTAGGGCAGGGAGGAGAGAAATATGAGACCCCTGGGGTGCCCCGGTCCCCCACCCAGAGGGGCACCTGCATTAGCAAAAGCCCAGGCGGACATGATGGGTGTGAAATGATCCTGTGCCAAGACAGGTGGGTGGACATGACTCAGTCCTGTGCAGTAGGGAGAGAGAGTGGCCCAGGAGGGGATGCTCAGAGCTGGACGCTTCCCTAGGCAGCAACTTCAGCCACAACTCACATTATTCCCGCCCCTTTGAGAGCATTCAGTTCCCACCACCACCCTCAGGAAGGGCCTCATGGCCAAGGCTCTCGTGAGGCACCGGAGCCTCACAGGATGAAGGACTTGCGGCCAGGACGTGCAGGACAGGGTCAGCCCTGGAGGGCGAGGCCAGGGGAGCTGGCCAGCACAGCAGGGCTCTCAGGTCTGTCTTCCTCGGCATTCACCCCATGTCTGCCGACCCTGCACTCATGTCGGGGCCCCCAATCTCCCCAACGGGCCTGGAGTCGCAAGCGGGGAACCACAGTTCTCTTAGCTGCTAGTGAATTTTGGTCAGTTCTATCTTAACAAATTATAATGTAAATGTAAATTCCATAGGCTGGATTAGTTTTTTTCTGAGACAACAACTGTGCAAACATTTCATACATCTCCTCAACTAAGTCTGTCAATAATCACACTGGGTAAACAAGACCTTGGGCAGGTAACTACTTGAAAATCTACATTTTTCTTCTCTCTCTGACCCCGGAGTGTGCTGAGGGAGTGAAGTGGCCATGTTACCCTCAGGTAAGGAGCGTCCATCAGGGAAGGTGATGGGCTTGCTGAGCTCCCTGCTAAACCCCGGCACCGGCGGGTAGAGTCTCAGCGACTCCTTAATGCACATGGTGGTGTAGGGCATCTTGTCCAGGTGGTCCCTGAAAGAGAAGCATCCTCAGATTTGGGCAGAGCCCGGCCCTGGGGCCTTCTCTCCTCCGTGGGCAGGGCCGGCCACCCCCGGAGCACTCACCAGCTGAGGGAGGCGCCATCCCCCAGGAGGCTCTGCAGCTCCTCCCTGCACCGGTGCTGGTGCTCAGGGTGGGCGGCCAGCGCATAGAGGATCCAGGAGATGCCGCTGGCCGTGGTGTCGTGGCCCTCGAACATGAACGTGTCCACCTCTGCCCGGAGGTCCGCGTCCGACAAGCTGTCCCCATTCTCCATCTGGAGAAGGCCAGGGGACACTGGGGGCTTGGGCCTTCCCGGGGCCGCCTGGGCAAAGCCGAGACCCTCCGCGCACTCACTCTGGCACGGAGCAGGATGTCCAGGAAATCCAGGTGCCTCTTCCCGCTGATCTTTTCCAGTTCTCCCTCCTTCTGCAGGTGAGCCTTCCTCTCCCGGATCACTCGGTCTGTGCAGAACAGTCTCATCCAGCCATCTCCACTGGGCGTCACCCCTGAGTGAGCCTGCCACCTGCCATCTCAGCCTTGTCCCTGCACCAGGAGTGTACCCAGCACTGGCATACTAAGGGGCATCAGGTAGGTCCTGGTGAAGGGTCAGGGCCAGGCCCTCTGATGAGCCTGATGAGGGAGGGGAGCAGCCCAGGAGCTGGAACCAACCTGTGTGCTCATGGGCCACCTCGCAGGCCTGGTGGAACTTGCGACCTTCTGGGGTCATGCCATAGACGGTGTCATTCTGGTGGAAAACGTTCCTCGCTCGGGAAAAGAACAGGTTCTTTATGTTGTCAATGGCCTGGATGTAGGACTGGGAGCTCCTGAGGGGAGGAGGCAGAAGAGACTGGAGAGGAGCACCCTCACCTGGAGGTGGGCGGGGTTCTGCAGGGGGTCTCCTCAGCCAATGGGGCCAGTGACAAAGACACATGTCATTTCTGTGTCCAGCTTTGTCACCCTGGACCTCACACGTCCTGGGCTGGGCTGGAGTTTCCCCTGCTGTGTCCCAAGCATCAGGGTCTCATTTTCTGCCCACTGGACCCCCGTAGTCTGAACTGCCTGCCTGGCAGCGGAGGCCACACCAGTCAGTGAGAATAAGGCCACATTGGAGGATTTGCACTGACCTGTCCGTCTGCACGCTGCCCTGGTGGCTGAAGGCGCACTTCATGAGGGAGTCCAGGGTCATCAAGGAGACGGGCTCGAAGATGTCAAGTGGGTTCTGGTCACTGAGCTGTTGTTGCCATTTGTCCTGTGGGGGCAGGAGACAAGGACCCTCCACATGGGACAGAGGCCTCTGCACGGGCTGGGCTCGGCCAGTCTCTAAATATTCACATGGGTTTCCTCACTTTCTAAGCCAGGTTTTTCTTTTAAATATATTTTGAATGTAAGTGTGTTAATGTGATGGCTGTTTAGTAAGAGACATTCATTAGATAATTAAACACTATTGCCCATGATTTTCTGACTTTGTAGTAAACTTAAGGACCAAGCTATAAATATAATGCATTTTACATGACAGAATACTCCTCTCTGCAGGACAAAGGGGAATATTGTCTGACCTGAGTGATGCAGAGTCCAAACAAGTAACAAGGGCAAGAAACAGCTAGGGGCCAGCCCCGGTGGGACATGGGGCTTCAGTTCCGTTAGTCATGAAATGTCTGTTGAGCTTAGGCGGCTCACGGCCCCAGCGACGTGAGGCGGGACCAGACCCAGCCCTAGGTGCAGACGGGTCTCCGCCTCCCCAGAGGAGGGGGGCGTCCAGGCCTTGGGGGCTCCGAGGCCCGGCCAGCGCAGAGGCCCGGCCTTCTGGGGTGTGCGCCTGCACCGACGCTGCCCAC